CCTTGAGCACCAAACATCTCAATGTTTGAGGTCAGGAGGTGGCTTGACTCCCTGCATCCAGCCCGCTGAGCTTGTGAAATTTCTTAGAAAACACTGATCCTAAACTGTGCAGGTTGTAGAGGATCCAGAGTCTAAAAAACCCCCCAAAACCTTGATGCAACTGTATCAACACATGTGCATATGTGTAAATTTGTACATGTGCATGCCAGAGCATGCACGTATCTTGTGTGGCTTGAGGGGCTCGGACCTCCTAGGTAAAATTAAAGCCAGACGCACCGACTATATCACTCAGTGTGCTGCTCCTTTGAAACATGTTGCTCACGTGCTCTTCATATTTTTTCAATCACGAGAGCGTTCTGCTTCATGCTCAATTCACTTGGCACCATATGTTGCTGACAGAGAGAGGAAGGACCTGCAAAGCATTCCAAGGGCTGACTTGGTTTCCTCTGTGTCCTGATGCTATGAAACCCTACCCAGGCACAGGACCAGCTCATTTCATATGAAAGAAGAGACTCTGTCACTGTTCAAAAGTCTGGATATGCGTGCGTGTGTGTGCACGCGTGCGTGCGTGTGCACGTATGCGTGTGTGTGCACGCGTCAGTGTCCCTGTGAAACAGCCGGATGTATAAGCACAGCAGCTGGAAGCATTCTTCCCACGTCTAATTCTTTATTAGACAGATACTACAGAGCCATAAGCTCAGCTCATCAGCCTCTGTGAAGTTCAGGGCCAAGGGGACAAAGCAGTACATCACAGTAGTTTTCCATTCTGTCAATTTTTCTAGCAAGTCTCTTCATTTTTTCACACTCAGCTCCTCCGCTCCGATAAGTAGTAGGCAATGCTGTGTTGACAGAGAACACAGCAGGGTTGCTTTAAAAGCTTCAAGTGACTCCTGATCGCCCTCAACTCCCTTACTACCACACACGCTAAGAACAGACCAGAGGTCCCGAGGCGGAGAGGGCATAGCTTGCATCTACCCTATTAAGGAGCAATGGGGCTAGGTTAGCTTTGCAGCAAACTGGAGCAGCCTGGGGGGCTTCCCTTCATTGGACCCCAGCTGCAATGGCCTCTCCGTGGCTTTTGGGGAGTGCATAAGTTCTCCAGTACCCCAGTGCCTCTAGGCTTTCCCAGCTGGTGTTAAGCCTACTGTATGGCTTCAAGGTTCACACCTGGAAGGACCAGGATATGCATGGGATTAAAAGCATAAGCAAAAAACTCCTCATCTATACTTAGGATACATTTCAGACCAGTCAACTGTAACCTACACAGGAGAATTACAAAGGAGGGCAAAAGAGTGGTTTCCATCCTGCTCTCTCTAATCAACAGATTTCTGCCATCTTAATCACTAGTGAAATGAATCTCAGCACAGGTTTTCTTTTCAGATACCTAAGTGTTTTCAGTTCCAAGCTCTTTCCGCTCTGCTTTAATAGAGAGAGGTTTCTGGATAAGCAGACGTTACTATGCTATGGCTTTGGGGTTTAAGGCGATGACTTAAACCCCAAGGCACCCTGGGGGAAGACAAGAAACAATGGGCACAAACTGACTGAAGGTCACTTCAGATTGGACATAAGGAAAAACTTTACAAGTCGAGTGCTGAGGGTCTGGAACAGGGTCCCCCCAGGGGTGGTACAGTCACCCACCCTGACGATCTTCAGAAAGCATCTTGACGCCCACCTTGCTAGGGTCATCTGACCCCAGCGGTCTCTCCTGCCCCAAGTGCAGGGGGGCTGGACCCGATAATCATGTAAAGTCCCTTCCAGCTCCTAACATCTATGAATTTATGACTTCAAGGAGCCCATAACTTCGTATTTCTCAGCAGCTCCTAGTAAATAATTTATACATGGAGAAAATACATCTTCTTGCTTTTTTTTTTAGCATTTATGTAGTTGCAAGTGTACCTGAGGGTCTAAGACCTGAGTTGTATATGGCCATAAGGCCCTTAAACATACAAAGGTGACAAGAAAAGCAGTGAAGCTGGGACAATGTCATTTTGCTGCCCAGAATGATTATTGGGATGCCATGTTTCAGTAACACTATTACCCCCCCAGCATCAGGAAGGTCCTAACTGGGCACGTCTACCCATGCTATCAACGCTATAAAGGCTTGCTGTGCAGTCAAATACCGGGCAGTAAGCCTTCCCTTGGAGCCTGTCTACATATGCTGCTCCTACCTAGCTCCGGCTCCCTGCAGCAGCCAAGGGAGGGCTCAGCTCCCCTGGGGTGCTAGCTCGGGGGCTGGCAGGGAGCACAGGGCTGATCCTCATGCACACGGGGCCAGGAGAACTGTGCCAGCTGCAGCAGCAGCTGTCGCCTTGCCCCCTACACATCGGGAGGGGTCCTGATGTGCAGGGGGCTGGGAGACAGCTGCTGCTGCAGAGCATTTTGGCCCCCCGCACATGGGGACAAGCCCCATGCCCAGCAGGGCTTCCTTGTGCAGCTGGGGGTTGGCCAGGAGCTGTCCCACTTTGGGGGCAGCTCCCAGCCAGCTCTGGGCTGGGCAGGGATTTCCTCAAGCAGCTCAGGGCTGGCTGGGAGCTGTCCTGCATGTGGAGATGGTGATGCTTTACTGCGCAGTAGATTAGTCTACTGCACAGTAAAGCGTCTCTTGTAGACACACCTACTGAGAGACAATGTAATACCCCAAGTGGGAACTAATCTACTCCTTCTGCAGGCTGCATTAAAGACAAAGAGTGCACAGCGCTTTCTCTCCCTGTTGACTCATTCTCTGACCTCCTGGAAGTGGTTGATCAAGCAAAGAAGAAAAACAATCCTCTGTGCACCCAGCTCTTACCATCCACTGCTGTGGCTCCCTTGCTTTACCTGTGGCAGGTTAGGGTATTATGTCTTGTGTTGTGTTAGGGTTGACAGCATTATTACAGAGTTTAGATTCTGGATTTGTATAGGATGATTTGGATAGGGATGATCCTGCGTCAGGCAGGGGGCTGGACTAGATGACCTCTGGAGGTCCCTTCCAGCCCGACTTCTCTACGATTTTACAATCCCCCTGACAGATCATTTTAGAAAAGCATCAGAGGAGAAAAAAAACTGTTGTTTCATTTTGCAGAGACAGTTGAGTGCATCTTTCTCTGCCTAAATAAATCAATGAATTTACAAGTTCACTGGGTTTGTGGCAGGAGAAACTTAAACCCTCCTGCGGCTGGAGCTACAAAGCAGAGCCTCATATGTTCCCATCTGATCTCATAACAGAAAACAGTGCACTTTGCCCAGACAAACGATGTTACTAAACTACTTTGAAAAAGCTGGTGGTAGCGGAGAAATATCCCATTAGGGGCCTGCAATCCTTAGCCAAATTAAATTAGCTTAATAGCATATTTGCGCTCTGCACAGAGAGGGCTCCGAATGACACTCAATAACAACTGTAGCGTCCACCACTCAGTATGCCTCTCCCCAGGTAAATCAGTGCGGAGACACCTAACTGGCACTCATTACTGCGTTCGGGGAGGAAATCCGATTAATACAAATTCATAGCATAAGGCTCTATTTCAGTGCATTAGATGATATACATTTCCATGGTGGTTGGAGAGCTAAAGGCGTCAAGGTTTCTGTCTACTCAATCCTTCCTAACACATTAACATTTCATTCAAATTCAGCCCTCCTGCTTTTGAAAGAAAGGGACTATTTACATACGGAAATGAAAGAGGCGTTAATTAACACATCTACTTTTATTTGCATAATCGGTGCTAAAAATATTTTATAGGTTAATTAGACTTTATGCAAATTGGATTAAGAAGATTTAATTTGAGTTTTGATAACCTGACTATTATATTTCCACAGCTGCAAATACATTTAGCATTACGTGCTGATTCTAAAACCCTGGTTTCCCTTTCAAACATTTTTAATACCATTTTTGGCAGGCTTATATGATTTATTTCTTTTCCCTTTTTCCCGTCGGCATAAACTCTCCCTTGCAAATCTCACTAACAGCAATGATATCAAACGTAGTTGGATTGAGTTAGTAAACCACTCGTGGCAACAGATGTTTCTGCACTTTATGGAAGTCTAACATTTACGAGGCATCCTCATTGTCCAGGTACTGAAAGGACGTGTTGCTACCACTTACTCCGACTCTCCTGTGCCTGGAGAACTAGTGCACAAGTCTGAAGGCCACTGGGCAACCACAAACCAACCCAGTGCTGATTGAAGATATTATGACCTCCTCCAGCAGGCCTTGCTATGAATTGAGCTAATACCGAAAGGTAAACCCAAGCAAACCATGAATGGTTCCAACTTCCTAAACAAACCCTAACAACAGCAGTGACTCTCGCAAGAGAAATTCCTGTCTAGGCTCCGAAAGCAGTTATTCGTAGACCGTTATCCACTCCAGCGTAAGTGGATGTCCTCATTCCCAACCTAAGTTGCCTTGCCGCCAAGTATGAAGGGGGAAAGGTAGGCAGATACCTTCTTCTGGTGCATTCCAAGGTGACCCAGACAACTGCAAAGGACACGGGGGGAAACTTGGGGAGAAAATAATTCTTCACTCACAAAAAAAAGGGGACTTTTCTCATTTATGCTGAATACCATAAATAACAAACACTTTGCATGATGACCCTGAACTAATGCTGAAGAGTTAGTGAAGCTCATCACAGAAGAGTTGATTGGTGACTTGAGAGACTGACCATGGATGATGAGACAGCTTTTGAGAAACAAGGTCGGAGCTATCAAGCCAGACGAATCTCTGCGTAGTAAAAACCTTTAAAGAGTAAGACATTCATATTCACGGTAAAAAGGGGAGGGGGCCTCCCTTAGGTCTAGTCTATTCATTTTGACGTTTACACTGATGAGTTTTATTATCTGAAAAGTGAGATGCCCAATTGTAGATCAGCAGATGGTACGATAGTTAATGTAAGTATCTCCAGATTTTCAGGCTGCAGATTTAATAGCTCTACTAAGTAGTGGTTAATATGAGTCCTAAGTCTTTCAAGCAGTGAATGGTATCATGGATATAAATGAGTTTAATGTGCTGCGGATATGAGCTCACTTACCTGTTCCTTGAACTTGGTGCTATCTTCTGACAAATAACTGTCGTGGTCGAATGTTTTCCACCATTCCCCACCTCCTGCTTCACATCCCATTGCCATGGATCACTTGTCTTTGCGCCGAGAATATTTACTCCCTTCTTCACCTTAGCCCTGTTGGAAGCAGTGATTGTAAAATATTTAGGAGAGGCCAAGGTAGCTGAGGCACTGTAAATTCAATATATCAGCATTAAGCAAATCATCAAGGTTATTTTATGTTGCTGCCATCTGAAGGCAGTAGAGAGAGCAGGAACATTATCTTCAGTGAAAATCTGAGCTTTGTCTAACTGTGGCAACTTTTTGCGTCAGAGAAATACACTATGCGTGCTTCTGCATTGGGAGGTGCTCTCAGGAGAGGAAGAATTAGGGGCAGGGCAGCTAGGATGCAGATTGCACGTGGCAGAGAGTTCAACTCTTTGGGGGAAATTTGCCCCGGTGTAGAACACAGATTGATCCCCCCATCTGCGCCTTGTGTGGGCTCACTCCACCGAACTGAATTTCAGGAGCAATGCTTCAAATAACCCACTCCCTTCTCTAGGACATTCTTGTAACTCTGGTGCACTAGCACTGGTTGGTTTTCTTGCTGTCTTTCTACCTTTCAACTCTCTCCATAACGTATTACCAAGGACATTCTTCAGTCTATTGATTAGAGCAGAGGTCTGGAAGTCAGTTGATGTTCCTACAGGGTCATCTGTGTTTCTGCTACGAACCTGTTGTGCAACCATGGGCAAGTTAATGTCATCCTATGCTTCTAATTACATCAGCATTGGTGGCTGCTAGTGTTAATTAACACTGTTTGTAAAGAAATCTTCCAACAAAGATAGTAGTTAAGTGCAAAACACATGTAACTGTGATTTCCATGATGTTCAGCTCTACATCAGTTTTCACAGACCATGGAGAACGGTGTGACTTGTCCATCTTTGTAGGCATGCAAACCATTCCCATCTCCAATGGATCTACAAGTTCCCAAAACACCTCTTGGGACAGATTCTTCCAGGCCTGTGAGATCCCACGTGTGTGGGAACAGGGATCCAATTACGACTCCCAGCCTGGTCCCACCATCAGTTAAAGTAGCCTAAGTTCTGCTGTAATTCATCAGGACTCGTAGTAGAGATGATACCTTTTATTAGACCAGCAAGATTCTTGCAAAAAAATAAAATTCTTTAATTTTTAATTTTAATTAATGCTGTAATTCATGACACTGGTGTATGGTTCCTAAGACAACTACCCTAGTGGAGGACTGGCCTAGCCAGAGTACAGAGTAGGGCCTAGGGAATATCAGAAAATGAGTCTCTAAATGCCAGATTTAAAAAAATATTTTGCAATCTAAAGATGCAGAGAGAAGCCTAACAGGGTTTCTAAAGCTACCTGAGTGCCTTACAGATGTCATGGTGGGGAGTAGGCCTTTACGCTCTTCTGAAAACCCAACTTGGTGCCAGTCTGTGTCTCTAGTAGCTTTAATAATCTGACCCTGAGTTTAAGAGGGCTTTTTCTCTTCCCCAGAGACATCTTTACACCATGATTTCAAGCAAAATATATGCAGTTTAAGGTAATAAATAAAAAACCAACCCCTTCCCTCGTTATGAAAGCGTAGAGCCAAGCCATCCTCCCAAAGACCTCAGCAGGTCAGAATCTGGATCTCGTCTCCTTCCACTGCCTTCAACTACGTTACTACGTTACGAGGGGCCAGCAGGGAGCTGCATGCTCAGGGGCAACCAGCATGGGTTCATCAGCGGCAGGTCCTGTCAGACCAACCTGGTGGCCTTTTACGACCAGGTCACTAAATCATTGGATGCAGGGGTGGCAGTGGATATAGTTTTCCTAGACTTCAGGAAGGCTTTTGATACTGTCTCTCACCCCATTCTCATTAGGAAGCTGGGG